GAATTGTTGGTAACACTTTATGGTCAGTTGCTGTTCATAAGGCTGTATGACACCTACATAAGCTTGTAATCACAACTGACATAACCCTACATAAGTGTTTATATAAGCTTATTCCAATAGGCGTCATTCACTGTAAAAAGTTACATTTGCCAGTTAGTTAAAGTTGCCTTAAGTTTAACAAGCAACCATCCTGACACCTGAAACTAGTCTGTCCATGTTTATGTATAACTGTGAGTCATACAGTGTCAGAAACCACATTAGCAAGTCTGAGATTACTGAACAACTCCATGCAGTTTGGGGCACTTCTATAATGTTTTAGACATACAGTGAGCACTATGCTGGTTTAATGAGCTTCCATTGTTAGCTATATTAGGCTCGTAGCTCCAGTGTAAAACTGGAGTTAGTGCTATGCTGGTTTAAGCTTCCATTGTTAGCTATATTAGCCTCGTAGCTCCAGCGTATAACTGGAGTTAGTGCTATGCTGGTTTAAGCTTCCATTGTTAGCTATATCAGCCTCGTAGCTCCAGTGTAAAACTGGAGTTAGTGCTATGCTGGTTTAAGCTTCCGTTGTTGGCTATGTTAGCCTTGTAGCTCCAGCGTATAACTGGAGTTAGTGCTATACTGGTTTAAGCTTCCATTGTTAGCTATATTAGCCTCGTAGCTCCAGTGTATAACTGGAGTTAGTGCTATACTGGTTTAAGCTTCCATTGTTGGCTATATTAGCCTCGTAGCTCCAGTGTTAAACTAAAGATTCAGATGTATTATATTTTCCTCTCATTTCTGAAAGCTATTTTTAATCTTTCTTGATTAAACACTGCAGTCTGTCCAACAACAAGCATATTAGCTTTAACTAGCAGAGGAGCTGTGGCTGTTATTAGCAGGTCATTTCATTTCGGGATATGGTGGACATAACAAAGGTGCTTTTGTTGGGTTATATGTTTACTCAGCCTCTGCCCCCTCATCTGTTGGGGTCTTCATGACTTCAAAGAGTGACCCGTGGAGACAAAGCGGCCTTTATTACTGAGGCTAACTAGCCTGATGGTTGTGCTATGTTAGGGAGCATGGATGAACTCACCCCACCCCCCCCGACCCCGACTCAGCGTTCTCCAAATCAAGCTTTTCGCCTCCTGTATGTGTGACTGTGCTGTGGTTGCCATGGTGACAAGGCTGGCATGGCTGAAAACTGATCATGGCTGTGATGCTAAGACAGCAGGCAGGGTAGATGGAAAATCCAGAAGGGAGAACTGGGCTCCACACGGAACGACTGAAGCAGTTTGGAAAACCATCAGCATTTATTATGAATTATTCAGAAGCTTCTATCATTTTTTCAGTAACTATTAATTCTGAAGTATCTGCTATGAATTATTAGGCAATTATTCACTATCTATTATGAGTTATTCAGTAACTACTATAAATTATTCACTATCTAATGTGAATTATTCAGTAATTATTCAATAATAGGGCGGCACGGTGGCGCAGTAGGTAGCGCTGTCGCGTCACAGCAAGAATGGCCTGGGTTCGATTCCCGGCCGGGCGACCAGGGTCATTTCTGTGTGGAGTTTGCATGTTCTCCCCGTGTCTGCGTGGGTTTCCTCCGGGTACTCCGGTTTCCTCCCACAGTCCAAAGAAAATGCAGTCAGGCTGATTGGACTTGCTGAATTGCCCCTGAGTGTGAGTGAGTGTGACTGTGTATGTCTGTCTGTCTGCCCTGCGATGGACTGGCGACCTGTCCAGGGTGTATCCTGCCTTCCGCCCAATGACAGCTGGGATAGGCTCCAGCACCCCACCGCGACCCAGAAGGATAAGCGGTTTAGATCATGTATGTATGTATGTATGTATGTATGTATTCAATAATAATTATGTATTTTCAATAACTACTATACGTATTCAGTAACTATTATAAATTATTCAGCAACTATGCTAAATTATTCTGTAAGTTCTGTAAGAATTATCCTGTAACTGCTATATTTTTTTTCAGTAATTATTAATTATGCAGTATCTGCTATGAATTATTAATTATCCAATATATATATATTATAAATCATTCAGTAACTACTACAAAGTATTCAGTATCTAATACATATTATTTAGTAATTATTCAATAATGATTCAGTAACTACTATAAATATTCAGTAACTAGTATAAATTATTCAGTAACTACTATGGATTATTTATTAATTATTCAATATTGATTATGCATTTTCAGTAACTACTATAAATATTTATATATACTATTATACATATATACTATTATATGTATTGTTATAAATTATTCATTAACTATTATAAGTTATTTAGGAACTACTATAAATTATTAAATCAGTATTATAAACTATTCAGTAACTGCTATGAATTATTTAAAAATTATGAAACTAATATGCAGGTTTTGTAATAATGACAGTGAGGAAATGACCTACAGTTTAAAGTCACTTAGAGACACTAAACCACTCTACACGGTTTGAGGCGTGTGTGATCATGGGCAGATACGAAGGAGGGGTCAGTAGAGTCCAGACGCAGCAGAAGGAGACGCTGAATCCTCTGCATGTGTGACATTTTTCCACAGTTAAAGCAGCTGAACTGACCGCAGTGTGGAGATTTGGTCATGTTAAAATCCAAAGCCCGGTTTCCTTCACTGTCTGAGCGACATTCACAGACAGATTAGAGACGCAGACGAAACAATTTCACCCCTGCTCTGTCCTCATCTGCTCGGACTTCCTCCGGTCACAGTCTTTCGTTTGTTTTCCTGAACCGTCACGTCTGATCTAAAGACACTCGCTGCCTTGTTCAGTCAAGGGAAAAAAGTGTTTTGTGTCACCATCTGATGTTTTTTTGTTTTAGTTGTTCCTTGTTTTCTTTGTCTCCACTACTTTGGGTTTTTTGGTGTCCTGAACTGCACTAACTTCAACCTTATGAAGCTGCAAGAAAGAACATCCTCTGTCTACATTTACAGTAAGGGGATTTTAGCCCACCCAGCTCAGCAAAACACTTAAATTATGTTCATAGTAAAAACCATAGGAGATTTTTTTTTTAATTAATTAATTTATATATGTTGTGATGTCACATTAGCATTTAGAAGTTCGGAATCAAAATTTTGGAATGACTTTATATATCACTGCTTATATATCGACATATCGCTGCTGTCGGAACAAAACCTCGTATCTCCAAAATGGTAACTTTACAGGAGAAGGAAAAAACATACTTTACTTTTAATGTAAGTCAATGGAACCAGACGTTTTCCCAAGTAATTTTGGGCCGTTTCTTTTGATCCATTTATCATGAAATTGACACACAATGTAAAGGACAACAGGCCTTTTCAGATTATGTCAACAACTGAAAAACGACAAAAATGGAGATGAGAGGTTTTGTGCCAACAGCAGCAACATATTTAAAATGATTCTATTATGATGCTTGTACTCTGCAGCTTTGCAGATTCTAACTAATAAGCAGGAAGCTGGAAAAAGAGGAATTTTAGAGTAAGTTATAACATACGGTATAACATAAGTTATAAGCAATGAAGTTTAAATAAAATGGATATCCAGAATGTCTTGTATTTGAAATATGGCTTCAGATACTTAGCTTATGAAGAAATTATTATAAATCAATAAATACAATAAATTATTTAACATTTAATGACTTTTAGATGTTCCCCAAAAATTAACCCCTTAACATATCAGGCTTATTACATACTAAGGCTTATTATTCAGTAACTACAGGGACTTCAGTGACTGAACTATTGTTAGGTTATAGAAGAGCGTAATAAACCTTTGGGCCAGTTAAGGGGTTAAAATACATTCCAGGGTTTATCATATCTCAATCTGTATTAGTTAGTATTGAAAAAAAAACAATTAGTAATATTGCGAACTATTGACTTTGCATAATGTTGCATATCGCTGTCGATGGAGGAAACCTTGTATCTCCAAAATGGTAACTTTACAGGAGAAGGAAAAAGCCTTTACTTTTAATGTAAGTCAAAGGAACCAGATTTTTTTTATTTTGGGCCGTTTCTTTTGGTTCATTGATCATTTAGATTAGGGAACCGGCCCTGTAACCGGAAGGTCACCGGTTCGATCCCCAGAGCCGACAGCATGTGACTGAGGTGTCCTTGAGCAAGGCACCTAACCCCCAACTGCTCCCCAGGCGCTGCGGCATAGGGCTGCCCACCGCTCCGGGCAAGTGTGCTCACTGCCCCCTAGTGTGTGTGCTCACTAGTGTGTATGTGGTGTTTCACTTCACGGATGGGTCAAATGCGGAGGTGAAATTTCCCCGTTGTGGGACTAATAAGGGTGACTTAATTAATTAATCATAAAATTTACACACAATGTAAAGAGCATCAGGCATTTTCAAAATATGTCAAAAACTGAAAAACGAAAAATAGAGATATGAGGTTTTGTTCTGACAGCAGTGATATAATGATTGCGTACTTTTGAACACTGGTGTATTTGGGGTCCTATTCTACAGTAATGCTTATTCTAATGAAACAACTCCACATGGTTTGAGGCAGATGTGTGATGATTCAGACATACAGTTAGCCTGATGCTAATTGGTGGGGTAAAAGCTTTCCTGTGCAAAAAAATGGGCCAAAATGGCAAAACATTAAGGTTTTAATGGTCAAATCATTAAATAAATAGCTGCAGTAGGTTAGTGTGGGAGAGATTTTCCCTTTGGTTTCTTTAAATGTTGAAGTCTTGTAAATTTGCAGCCTTTTACAGAAGAAGACTTAGTATTGATCCACTCAGCATTGGCGGCTTCATACAGCTGAAAAACATTGCCAAGCTAGTTTGTGTTTAACATGAGACCAAATATTCTCTGTAGGGTTTAAATCTGGACCCAGACCAGCCCAAAACTATCAGTAAAAACCAGTATATTTTGGCCCATGGGAGTGCGCTTTTTGGCCAAACCATCCCTTTAATACAATTCCAACTCTGTATTTTTTGGTTAATTATAATAATAATTATTATCTGTGATGTGAATAACTGGACGTGTTTTTCTGTGTTGAACAGGTGATTGAATCTCTGGGCATTATGATCTATAAAGCTCTGGACTACGGTCTGAAGGAGAACGAGGAGCGCGAGCTGAGTCCGCCGCTGGAGCAGCTCATCGACCTGATGACTAACACGGCCGGCTCGGACGCTGACCCCTGCCCTGACGAAGGCTATGAAGCCACTGAGGAAGAGGAGGAGGAAGGGCGGGGCTCCAGCAGTGGGATCCGCCGCTACCGGGACGTCCTCAAGGTAACCTGTCACAGCATTTTACTGTGGCTTAATGAAGCACAAGCAGTTTTAATCTATTACAATGAGTTTTTACTGTGTTTCCAACCAAACGCTGTGATTTTATTGTCCAGCGCTTCTTTGCAAGCATTACACCTCAAAGCTGTTGTTAAAGGTGGATGTTGTGGTAATCACACGTTGAACTTGGTACCTTTTCCAACTTTGTTAGTCTGGAGTGGACACGACAGATGGCCGACATGATGTGTGAATTGCGTCGCTGTTTTAACCCTTTTGTTGCCGTATGAAGGCTAAAGCAGAGCTAATAGCAGGTTTTACAGTGATCTGGCTGTGTGTTTGTGCTGTATTTCTGGGTTGTGTGATGTTAGAGCTGGTTTCTATCACTCTAGTAATGGCAGGTTCCTCTGAGTGTCCAGGTGTTTGAATCATGTCGCTATTTGTAATTGTTTGTAATATGAAGGCTAAAGCAGAGATGTAATATAACAGTAGCGAGTGGGTTTGGGTGATTTTGGAGCTGGACTACTGACCGATGGATGGTCACATGTGGATGAAGTCACTCTGGATGGTGAGGCAGAGGCTGTTGAGTGATCTGATGTGTGAATCATGGTGCTGTTTTAACCCTTTGTTGGAATATGAAGGCTAAAATTAGAGCAATAATATTAGGATTTTGGGTGATTTTCTGAGCCAAACTACTCACTGACGCTCCCAGCTCGATGATGTCACATAAACGAGTTAGGGGTGGGTCTGCTGAGTGTTCTGATATGTGGATCATGTCTGTAGCTTAAACCGTTCTGAAGTTATAAAGGTTAAAATTCAGCTACGCATTTTGCAAAGGTTAAATAGCAAGGAGCCGCCAGCGGACAGACTTTCATTCTTCACTTCTATAACTGAAGAATAACTCAACCAGTTTGCATAGTTTTCCATGTAATTGCTGATTAAGAAGTCTTAAAAGCAGGGAAATTGAAAAGACATTAAATGGTGTTTAAATAATTCTGTAGAGGCACGCTTAAAGCCTGGTGGAAGTTAAGAGAGGTAGCTAAGGCTGTGCGAGTGACACACATACCCACACTGAGCACTGAGCTTTTGCTCTGGCTGGTCTGTCAGGGCCTTCAGCTGTACTGCATGTACATTACATAATCTCTGCCCTCTTTACCCATGAAAGAGCATGACGCTGCTGGAGTCTCCCAGCGCAGGCGAGTGGAAGTAAAAGCGCTGATGAGACGTGTTTTAAGCTCCTGTTTCAGCGCACACTGACCATCACGCCATCTAACTGTCCCTCAGTCTATCTCAGTGTTTACAAGTATGTACACGGGGGATTTTCATACAAATCTCAATTCCAAAGACAGAAAGCAGAAATCTGTAGTTCCACTTTGACCTGTATTTAGACAGAAACGCTACAAAAACATGTTTTACCTTATCAAAGATATTGTTGCTGTCCAAAAAAAAATCCAAGTACCAAAATGTCAGCTTTAAAGAATGCAGAAACATTCTTTACTTTTAGTGTAAGTTAATGTAAAGAGATTTTATTCCAAGTAATTTTAGAGCATTTCTATTTGTCCATTCATCATAAAAAGGAGAGCTGCTGTGCTCAAATGATGCAGAAAAATGCATGCTTGTTGATTTTTGGACAGCAATGATGTTATTATTCTGAAATTGATGGCTGTAACACGTTCCAAAAAAGGTGGGACGGGGTGATCTAAGACTAGGAACGTAGTGAAATCTTAACATCTTAAACAGGTGATGTAATCATGGTATAAAAGGAGCATCCAGGAAAGGTTGAGGCTCACCACTGTGCCAAAAATGCACCAGCAAATAATCCAACAGTTTAAGAACAACATTTCTCAAAATGACTTTGCAAGGGTTTTAGGTATTTCACCCTCTACAATGCATAATATCATCAAAAGATGATAGAAGCCAGGCTGAAAACCACAAGTGAGGATCCATGAACTTGCACATCTGTGAAGGCACCATTAACACTGAAAGATAAATACGTTTCAGAGCAGCATCTGCTGCCTTCTAGACACATTTCCATCAGAATTTATTCCGTCAGTGCTATTGAAGAAAAGAACTGGTAATTCAACTTTCTGCAAGATACTAAGATAAACAGGTCGTCTCCTTTTCTACTCACAAGCACAAACGTGATTTGGATTGAAAGGTCAGAATCTACACTTTCCACACAATTTCTCTGCTTGTTTTAATGACCAACAGATTAGAAACAATTAATCTAATATTAGAGCATGATTATTTATTATTATAGTTTATAGATTATTATAGTTATTTCTGGCGAGGCTTCTAAGGGTTAAATGTCAGATTCCTAGAAGAGCCTGTGTGAGTATACCTGGAAGTGAACTGTTGCAGTGCTGTTTTGCTGGTAGAGTAACAAACACACAGGCTGGCATCCAACAGAATCAAGCAGAGAGTGACTCACTACGCCGTCTGTCCATTTAGCACTAACTAGGACACTCACATGCCAGAAAGCAGACCGGTGTACAGTACATATACACCGATCAGGCATAACATTATGACCACCTCCTTGTTTCTATGCTCATTGTCCATTTTATCAGCTCCACTTACTATATAGGTGCACTTTGTAGTTCTACAGTTACAGACTGTAGTCCATCTGTTTCTCTGATACTTTGTTAGCCCCCTTTTACCCTGTTCTTCAGTGGTCAGGACCCCCATGGACCCTCACAGAGCAGGTACTATTTGGGTGGTGGATCATTCTCAGCACTGCAGTGACACTGACGTGATGGTGGTGTGTTAGTGTGTGTTGTGCTGGTCTGAGTGGATCAGACACAGCAGTGCTGCTGGAGTTTTTAAACACTGTGTCCACTCACTGTCCACTCTATTAGACACTCCTACCTTGTCAGTCCATTTTGTAGATGTAAAGTCAGAGACGATAGCTCATCTGCTGCTAGAGGTCATCCTCTAGTCCTTCATCAGTGGTCACAGGACGCTGTTGACTGGATATTGTTGGTTGGTGGACTATTCTCAGTCCAGCAGTGACACTGAGGTGGTCATAATGTTATGCCTGATCAGTGTATGTGTATGTGTGTGTTTGTGTAAATATATATGTACACACTATATGGACAAAAGTATTGGGACACCTGCACATCACACCTACAGGAGCTTTTATGACTCCCATTCTAAATCCATAGCCATTAATATGGAGTTGGCCCCCCTTTGCAGCTACAACAGCTTCCACTCTTCTAGGAAGCTTTCTACAAGATTTTGGAGTGTCTGTGGGAATTTTTGCCCCCAACGCTTGGTATTGTGCATTTTGATCTTACGCTTGTATGCAGCTGCTCATGGAAACCCATTCTACTGCCAGTGTTTGTATATAGCTGAGGTAACTTCATTGTAGTGTAAATATCATCATGGCTATTAGAGAACTTGCTCAAAATATGAATATTATTCAAGTGTGACTGCTTGCCATATTTTCATATTTTAAGCTGCGTTTGTTTTATACATGATACTTTTTACTAGAGCTGCACAACATATATATATATTGCTTATTGACTGTTATCATGCACAATCTTGACCTTTGCAATACTGATATAGGTACAGAAGGCTGGGATATGCAAATGAGCCCTTTAAGCAGTTACAGTGACTTAGCAAATACAATAAAATATTCAGTATGTGTTGATTTTACAGACTTTTTTCAACATGTACTAGGAATTATTTAGTAACTGATATGAATTATTCATTAACTTCACTAAATTATTCAGTAACTACTATAAATCATTTAGGGGCTACAGAAATTATTCAATATGTACTATGATTTTTTTGGTATGAATTATTCAATATTTGCCTCTAAATTATTCTGTATGTACTATAATTTATTCAGTAACTATTTCAAATTATTCATAATTTATTATTCATTGTTCAGTATCTACTATAAATTATTCATTATCTACTATAAATTATTTATATCTACTATGAATCATTCATAGTCTACTATGAACTATTCAGGAACTACTATGAAAGTAATTCGCAAGTTGTGTAGTGAATAACTGAAGTGTGAATTGCATATAGACCCTTAAAGGAGTTTAAATATGACCAAAGTGTGAAACTGATAAAAGCCTGTTTTTGTGTTTTCACTGTAGTTGTGCACGTCTCACCTTCCGAGCCCAGAGGACGCTCCCGCCCACTACCAGGCCGTGTGCCGCGCCCTGTACGCTGAGACCATGGAGCTGCGGACCTTTCTGGACAAGATCAGGAGCGCTAAAGAGGTGAGAAAAACATCCAGCGCTCCTGTAAAACATCACACATTCGTACGCACAACCTGTCCAGGACATTCCGGAGCAGATTCGGAGCTGTTTCAGCTCATCCAGCTTTGCGCAGTCTTAGCACTGTCTAAAACAGCTTCACTGTTCATATTGAAACAAACTCATTTTAAGCACTTAAAGGAACGGTTTGGCAAAAAAATCAATTGTACACAATTTTCCACACGCCCCAGATGTAGTTGATCAGTCAAGACAGGATTGGCATACTTGTTTTGGTGTTTTGTCAGTTTAGCGCTGGTGCTACAACGCTAATGCTGCTAGCAAGCAGTAGAAGTCACTAGTCACCCAAATCTTTTCTGTAAATACATCCTCAAAACGTCTCTCAAACCGCTTAAACCACATCCAGCTCCTCATTTAGGTGGCGCAGATTTGTTGATTCATGACTTATGACTTGCTGTGAACTATAAACGTAGCTGAACACTGTGGAGATTCACTTTAGACAAAGATTAACAGTGACAGTCATCTGCAAAACCTTGAGCACCCCTGGTTAAATTCATGTTTCCTTGCTTTTTTTTAAGTGAAAATAAGTAAACACATCCTCAACAGAGAACAAATCTTAATTACTATTTATTTGCTCAATTTAACATTTTAGGATAAATAGATTAAATGTGACCTGTCCAAAAGTTGTGGCACATTTTATATTTTAAGTTTTATTTTTTCAGCCTGTTAAAATCAGCAAATAAACAGAAATTGTGCACTAAAATTTGTTGTATAAAGTCAACGTTGATTTTATAGGTTTTACTGTTTATAAACCACATCGACAAGTCTGTACAACCTTAATGAAGACCTGGACGTGGTTTGAGCGGCTTGAGAGAAGTTTTGGGGATGTATTTGCAGAGAAGATTTGGGTGACTATTGACTTTTAGTGTTTGTTAGCAGCGTTGGCCTCATAGCTCCAGCGCTAATGTAAATAAACACCAAAACAAGGACACCAAACGTCTTGGCTGACCGATTATATCTGGGGTAAGTGGAAAATTATGTTTTCAGCAAAGAGTTTGGCATAAACCTTTATCTTAAGACATCTTAAGATTATGGAAAACATACGTTCAGTCACGTATGTGCTAATTCTGACTGGCACCGAACTGCTTCTCGAGTGCTAGCTATGCTAATATTAAATGAGAGCTCACAGGATCCATTTAGCTGGGTGAGGTATCCTTTCAAAGTCATGCTGGACCTTCACGGATGGATGAGCCATGACCTTATACAGCATGTTACCATGACCTACGGCTACATGTTTCAGCTGTGCTTCAGTACAGTCCAGCCAAAGGGCAGCGGCTAGTGACAAACTCCTTGTTCTACTGGAGGCATACAGTTTGCAACATATGAGGCATAAAGACCTTCCAGTTCATTCTTCAGCAGTGTCATAATGTTGTATGGTGAATGGCTCACATATAAAATGACACATACGCTATATGGAACACATACAGTTAATCATATTAGTGATGTTAATTCTACAAGATAAAGAGCACAAGGGAGTGAATTATTGTCATGTTGTTAATTACACTCACTCTAATAAATAGAAGGGAAGGAATTGTCTAGAGGTTGTTAATTCTAACTCTAAATAATTTAGCATCTTGAAGAGGCGGCCGTCTTATAGCACTCAAGTTCATTACCAAGGGCAGAGGGCTCAGTAAGCTGTAACTGAAGCTTACCCCGTCTGATTCAGGCTAAATAAAGATGTTATGGGTGTTCAGCTAAGCTCTTTCTGCTGGAAATGCTGCTGAGGATGACACTGTGGGTGTTAGTCCCACAGGATCCCACCAGTGGTGCACTTAAGTGCGTAAGCACTGTTTTCGCCATTGTCTCATGTCTGTACTTTATTAAAGTATTTCAATTTTTTGAGACTTTTGCTTTCACTTCACAACATTTTAAAGTAAAACATTCTATTTTTTGCTCCAGTACCTACTGCATTAATATTCATTACTATGGTTGCACGATAATGGACATAAAATGTGATGTTCCATAAAGCTGATGCTAAAGATGAAGCATCAAAAGTTATTTGACTGTTAATGGTGCCCCCTTGTGGAGAATTTCTAGTCTGCCAAATGTGAGCAGTTCCATGAGGTGCTTAATGTATGTGTATATGTATATATGTATATATGTGTCATCACCCATCAGAATGGGGCGAAAATGTGATCTCAGTGAATTTGACCTTCCTGATTGTTGGTGCCAGACAGGCTTGTTTGAGTATTTCTATAACTGCTGATCTCCTGGGATTTTCATGCACAACAGTCTTTAGAGTTACTCAGCATGGTGCAAAGAAAAAACATCCAGTGAGCTTCAGTTCTGCAGACAGGTCAGCGGAGAATGGCCAGACTGGTTGGAGCTGACAGAAGGGCTGTCAGCATCTTAGAATACACAATGTCGAACCTTGAAGTGGACGGGCTACAGCAGCGCAAGACCACTATGGGTTCCACTTCTGTCAGTCAAGAACAGACGGCTGAGGCTGCAGAATTTGGTGCCGACAGCATGGACTCAACCTGCCTTGTGTCAGCAGTCCAGGCTGGTGGAGGTGGTGTAATGGTGTGGGGAATTTTTCTCTGCACATTTTTGGCCCAGTTAATAACAATCAATCATCGCTTGGATTCCACAGCCCATTTGAGTATTGTTGCTGACCATGTGCATCCATTGATGGTAACAGTTTATCATCTTCTAATGGCTACTTCCAGCATGGTAATACACCGTGTCACAAAGCAAAGGTCGTCTCAAACTGGTTTAATGAACATAACGGTGAGTTCAGTGTTCTTCAGTGGTCACCGGAACTGAATCCAAGAGAGCAGCATGAAAGTGCACCTAAAAAATTTGCATGAATTGCATGATGCAGTCATATCAACATGGAGTGTACATATTGTAGCCTTTTTGTTGTTTTTGAAAACGAAGAGGTTTTGTTCTACCAGTGAAGATTGAGTGTGTATATATATATATATATATAGTATATTTTTATATATATATTTATATATAGTAGGAGGCGATCTGATATACATGTACAATTTATATATATATATATATATGTGTGTGTGTGTGTGTGTGTGTGTGTGTGTGTGTGTGTGTCTGAATGTGCATGTATATCAGATCGCCTCCCACAATCACACAATCTCTTCTCATACTACTATAAATAGGCGTGGTCCAAACTAGCAGTGTAAATTTTGGAACCACAAAACTTTGCTATGACGCTTTCCAAATGGTGTCCTTCAGAAATTTCAGGCAAAACCTTTAGCATTAACTACTGAAAACAGTTGCTAGTTTAGCAAGTTAGCTTAACTCTTAGCTGGATAGTGCTTAATAAACGCAGCATGCCATCAGGCCAGACAAAATCTTAGCAGTGTAGGCCATAAAAATACGTCTGAAAACGCTTGACAAATACGGATGGAAAACTGCTACAAACATTCCAAATGTGATGTGAGATAAAAAGATTATAAATTATTATCTAATAAAGATAAAACCCGTTTGCTGGCTAGACGAGGACGAAGTTTAGGTTGTGCTCACTGTAAAAACAGACCACTGAGTGAGAGAGCAAACCTACTACATTAGTCGGGGTCACATGATTAAGGCTTTGTTGTGTTTGTGTGTACAGTCATACGCATCTTCATGCAAATATTAGCAGAGGCCACATTTTGTGTTTTCTCCAGTGTGTTAAATACAGCAAAAAACAGTACTTGTGCATTAAAATGTGCAGATGTCTGAACTTACTGTCACTTAAATCTAATTTCGCACACGTCTGTTTGTCCTGTCCTCCTCTGCGTATTCGTCTTGTTAAGGCGTTTGTGTCGTCTACCGTTGGGGGTTTTCCGTTACTGCCATGCGCCGCTTTCCTTTTCTGCTGTAACAAAAGCCTGATGTGAAGCAGAGGCTGTTTAGCTGCTCTGATTGTATGTTATAAAAGCCGCCAGAGGCTGTAAAATCAAACGCTGCCACTGAAAGCTTTACTCACTGCAGAGCCTCTATTATAGCCCAGGGACTGAAGGTAAATACAAGCAGACCCGAGCAGGCTTTCTGAAAGCTTCATTTGTCAAGTCTTTTATGCAACTTGAAATACCCAGAGTACCATACTGTGGTTATATTACTGCATATTACGACTGTGATATGAAAAAAAAACACATTGCTGAGGCACTAATAACATGGTTAAGATTGGCCTGCATTATTTTGACCACAATTAGTTGGGTGTGTTGGATTACCTTGATTTATCTAAAAACCAATAGAAACTCATCTAATTCATATAAGATGTGGTCAGGATGTTAATTTAGTGATTTGTAGAGGCTTATTTACACATTACAACAAGATAATGTTACGAAATGATACATTGTTTAGATCCTTGTCTGAACAAAATCTGGTAACACCAGAAAGGTAACTTTACAAGGAAAGAAAAATATGTTTTCAACTTTTAGTGTAAGTTAATGTAGCATTATTTCTTTACAAATAATATTGGAACGTTTCTGTTGGCTATAAAATGCATGTTGAACCTGTGATTGGTCAGACTGTTTTCTTCCACCTCTGATTGGTCAGAACCTGCGGAAGATGGAGGGTGGTACGACTGATGATCCAGCTAGAGACCTAAATGAGTTACAGAATGCAGACTGGGTGAGTTTTGATATACGTCCCTTTATAAGCATCATGGTTATGACATCATATTTACATTAACATATTTATGTGACCGCCCATTCAGCCTACAGCAGTTTAGCCCCACCCATTCAGCCTACAGCAGTTTAGCCCCACCCATTCAGCCTACAGCAGTTTAGCCCCTCCCATTCAGCCTACAGCAGTTTAGCCCCTCCCATTCAGCCTACAGCAGTTTAGCCCCACCATTCAGCTACAGCAGTTTAGCCCCACCCATTCAGCCTACAGCAGTTTAGCCCCTCCCATTCAGCCTACAGCAGTTTAGCCCCACCATTCAGCCTACAGCAGTTTAGCCCCACCATTCAGCTACAGCAGTTTAGCCCCACCCATTTAGCCAACAGCAGTGTAGCCCCAACCATTTTGTCTGCAACAGTTTGGCCCCACCCATTCAGCCTCCCCAGTTTAGCCCCACCCATTCAGCTTGCAACAGTTTAGTCCCACCCATTCAGCCTACAGCAGTTTAGCCCCACCCATTCAGCCTACAGCAGTTTAGCCCCACCCATTCAGCCTACAGCAGTTTAGCCCCACCCATTCAGCCTACAGCAGTTTAGCCCCTCCCATCAGCCTACACGTTTAGCCCCTCCCATTCAGCCTACAGCAGTTTAGCCCCACCATTCAGCTACAGCAGTTTAGCCCCACCCATTCAGCCTACAGCAGTTTAGCCCCTCCCATTCAGCCTACAGCAGTTTAGCCCCACCATTCAGCCTACAGCAGTTTAGCCCCACCATTCAGCTACAGCAGTTTAGCCCCACCCATTTAGCCAACAGCAGTGTAGCCCCAACCATTTTGTCTGCAACAGTTTGGCCCCACCCATTCAGCCTCCCCAGTTTAGCCCCACCCATTCAGCTTGCAACAGTTTAGTCCCACCCATTCAGCCCACAGCAGTTTATCTTTGGCTGTTCTCATTGAAGTGATGTGAAATGTTGTTCCTGCAGGCAGTTTGTAGCAGCTATTGAATTAGTGGGTAAACAATTAAACGTTGTGCTGCTCCTGGCTGTCAGGAAGCAAAAGGATCCAGATATCCTAAAGGAGCAGCTAAAGTTTATATGTACTTAACAGTTTGTTCTGTACATTTCAGTCCAGACTGCTTTGAGTGAGGCAGAGTAACAAAGTCAGCTGATTTAATTCTAATTGAATTAGATCAAGAAGAGATAATGATCATATAAAAATGGATTATGGTATTTTCTGTACATAAAACCACACAATGTTTTATGAAGACTTCAGAAAAAAAAAATAGAATATTTAATATATTTGTTTAAATGTTGTTTCTAAGTTTGTGAATGTATTCTCTCCTGTTCAGGCACGGTTCTGGGTGCAGGTGATGAGGGACCTGAGGAACGGAGTGAAGCTGAAGAAGGTGCAGGAACGTCAGTACAACCCCCTGCCCATCGAGTACCAGCTCACACCCTACGAAATGCTCATGGACGACATCCGCTCCAAACGCTACAAACTGCGCAAGGTCATGGTAAGTCAACACAAGCACACATACTGTATATACTGCCTGCAGAAAGAGCCACACAAACAACCAGTTTGGATTCCTCGCTGTAAAGCTGTCAGTGTGGATCAGGCAGCGTCCAGAATGAACCAGTCAGACAATAACACAGCAAATTTCTCCATGTATTCCATATAAATCATTGTTCTTAAATTAGCAGTGATTTTACACCCTGTCAAATTAAATAAGATTTAATGTAAGTAGGACTAGGTAATGAAAATTGGTATGCAAAAGAACGACCAAACATCCTGGTTCTACTGAGTACCGAAAAGCTTTAAAAAATCTGTGCCTACTTTTTATACTGTGGATGAAAAACTACACCATCTTGAATTAATTGTTTGAATTATTTTGAAAAAGGAGAAGAAGAAGACAGGAGTCTGACTGGTTCTTTGATGCACAGAGAGTGAAGAAAGAGCACATACAACCAAAGGTGCAAAATACAGGGGGTCCTGATGGGTCCAGGACCCACTGAGTAACAGCTTGGAACCCCTGAATGTTTCAAAATCACAATTTTGCAGGGGTCTGTGAAAATATTTACGTATGACATTATTCTGCCTGTTAGGGAAAAACAGCTCGCTCAAATACAGATGCAGGGATAGTTCATTGTCTAGCTGCTTCACCCACAATCAGTGAGTTTCTGTCTTAGGAATTCTTAACTAAGTAGGGTGGCGCTGTAGCAAATTGGTTCACTGAGTTGGTCCTTCATAGCTGAGCAACTGTAACTAAGCTCAGGATACCTAAGAAATACTTCAGAATATGCTGCAGAACATTTGTAACTCTGAAAACTTGGCCAATTTCATAAGAGTGAAAAGAGTGAACTGTTACTGATTTCTCAAACCGGAGACAGAAGAGGAGATGTGTATAATCTCAGTTGGTGTGTGGAGGAGCGCATTACCAAACTAGAAAAGAGCATTTCTAGAAGAAGAACTGTTAAACCAAACATGTTGTCGCCATCGAAGCATCAGTGCCGCTATGGTGTTAGCAGCCAGCCAACGTTGGAGTAGCCTGACAAGATGGGACCCCCTGAATATTTTGCACACTGCATATAACTGTAATGCCTGACAGTCACTGAGGTACAAGGTCTGACTGTATTTTGTAAAGTAAGGTAGATGAAAACAGTTCCTTGTACACTTAAACCTTTACAGTAGTATTTGCGAATAGATCATCTACTTGTTTCATAGCTTCTCCAGTTTTACTGCGCTATACTGTATTACCAGGGATTGGAGGTGGAAGGCATCTCTAACAGTTGCTAAACGTTAAACATTGCTGTTAACCAGCAGAGGGAGCTTGTTAGCATTAGCTTAGCTAGCATGAACTCTGCTCACCACAGAACATGCTCACGTCTGGCTAACCACAGCACCGACACGAGTTTAGATATAAATGATTCGATATGAGTGAATTATCTACTATTGTCATCATATCTTCATCGGTATAATATTGATTTAGCATTCGAGACCTAAACATCGAGCCGGACCTTCTTTCTGAGTGTGTGTGTGTGACGTTAATATATAAAGACATACTGTGTGGTCTGAAAACTCCAGACTCCACACTTCTGACTCTTAAATGACTATTTCAGGATTTACAGGGCGACTCACAGCAGCACAAGCTCAAAAAGTGCCACACACCACAGTACAGACTTGATTCTGACCAATTGCTGTTCTGTTGAAACAAGTGTAGATGATAAAAACTGTCTGAGAGAGTAAAAGTTGAGTAACCTGTTTTCCAGCCTGCTCTGTTTGGCACTGTAGCGTTTTGGCTAAGCTAATGAGAGCTTACTTAGCAGGCTAAACCAGCTACACAGCACAGCACGGGCTCGGTTCTAGCTAACTGATGCTAAAATGACCCCCAGAGGATATTCTGAGAGCGCAGAGTCGAGTGACTGGTGATGGAGTGAAAGATGAAATCAGGCATGTTCTGTGGTGAGTGGAGCTCTTAGCCATCGCTGACCTGCTATCATGCTTAGTTTTTCTGAGGTTTTTCTGGCTCTGAGATTTTTCCCCTCGTAGGCCCAGTCCCATTTCTTCTTTTTACCCTACCCCTTGTTTTCAAGTGTCACCCTAAACCCTTGGAACTGAGTTATAAGGGGTAGTGGTTGAAATCGTCCCCATCAAATGGGACCCTCAAATAAAAAGAGCATTACTTCATTAACAGCTACTGGCGCTGCTCTGTAGGCGACCCTGCCAGTCTGCAGTGACAGCAGAGGAGGGTAAAGTTCAGCTCCTCACTGCTGGGCTTTAGTTACATTTAGAGCTTCATATGCCTTCAAAGAGGGGGGCAATTATTTATTATCACCCACCCCTAATTCTTCAGTGATATGAAGCTGAAGTCAGATATTCACCAGCTTCTTGTTTGAATTTTCCTGTTCCACCTTAAATGGAGCAGCAGTTACAATTTGGCGCTTCAGGCATCTGAACTGTTGGACTATTTAAGGTGGAACGGGAAAGTTAGCTAGCTAGCTACTGAGACATTAGCATACTACTAGTGATTTTTTTTATTCTTGTTATAAAGAAAACAACCATAATACACTGAAATGACATTAAACTAAGATAATACAGTGGTTATTGTAATTTTTTAACTGAGAAAATTCTCACATTTGTGCGTTTCTGTGGTCTCTTGTTCTCCATCTCGCCGGTTTTTCTTTTTTTCTCATATCACTCTGTTTGGAGTCTCTGAAAAACCTCTGTTTGGAGGGTCATGTAGCCCCAACACTTCGCTCTACCCCTCTATCTCAACAAAAATTGGGACACCTTAACCCTAGACATGAACGTGCAAAACAGAGGGCTAAGTGGTAGGGGCGAGGGGTGAAATGGGATTGGGCCTTTCTGTCAGCGCCACCTATCAGTGAGCTCCTGCACCACCAATTAGTGACCCCTATAAAATATATATAGGTGGAATGTGTTTATTTGGCCATTCAGAATGGAATAGAAATTTGAAATTCTAAAGTTGAAATACTGTCATCATTTATAAATACGACACCTTACCTTATTACTGCTTTATCTCCCAATTCCCCCAGCTGCCAGGTCAATTAATACGATAATTCGGATGAAACATTTGATCAAAAACGAGATTTAGGGGGCTCCCGAGTGACGCAACCGTCTAACCGTCTTGGCCCTATCATCAGGAGATCGTGAGTTTGATCCCTGGTGATGCTACAGTCATCCGTGTCTGGGACTCCAGGATATCCAAGGTATCTGGATGGGTAGGATGGCCCCCCCTTGTCTCCCCATCACCCAGCGCAATGCCAGGCAGCACAGGCATCTGTTTGCTGATGTAACAGGACTGGCTGTTTGCGTTCTTCTCTGACCGCATTGAGCTGTCCAATGGCGCTTCACAGGTCTCTGAGGAAGCCTGTGCAAGCTTTCGCCCTCCTAGTGCTGATGGTATTATGTGATTAGGGGAGCCCTAACTAGTGGGAGGAATTGGATACGTCCAATTCGGGGAGAAAATTGGGAAATTGGGTTCATCTCCATCAACATTTGGATTCAGTTAGCACCAAAACTGGCAATTACCAGGTAGCCAGTTAGCTGTCGTCCACTGCTGCACTGAGCTATACACACATACTGAATCATTCTCATCTCGCTTTTTTAAACTACGGCATCAGGGTCAGTGGTCACCAACCCTGGTCCTGGAGATCGACATTCAGCAGAGATCTACCTCCAGCGGTGTCCAGTTCCTGCAGTCTAAGCTAATTAACTTCGTCAGAAGGCCTTGATTGGCCAGATCAGAGGCATCAGCATTAAGTGAAGGGAGGGGTGCCATGTTGGATGTAGGCTGGAACTAAACTCTGCAGGAAAGTAGATCACCAGGAGGAGGGCTGGTGACCACTGATCCAGGTGAAGTGATTCATGTGCCAAGAAAAGAGGAAGATGAAATTCTTATTAATAAATAATAATTCATTCTGATATATCTTTGTTTGTCACAACTAGAATAAAGGTATCGGAATAAGTATTGTTCTAGTATCGGTATTGAATTCAAGGTATTGGATCGGTATCAGTATTGAACATTTTCAAACAGTACCTGGCCATAGTGGTGAGCTTTAAATGAGCTTCCAACACTGGCCTTCTTAGCCATACCGTTACCATACCGTTATTTACCTTAACGATGCTGTCTGGCCTGTTCTGTTTGTGTGTTCTTGGGTTTGGTCAGGGTGGTATTATTTAATTACATATGTTTTTTTTCTTGCTAATCTGCTTTTTTATGCTTTGTTGTTACAAACTGGGCAAAAGGATCCTGGTGGTATTGATGTATTTCAAGCCTCAACTGTAAAACTATTCAAAAACACTTACCATAAATGGTGGATAGTGTTACTTACCCTTCTGTGACACTTTGTCCAGTTTTTTGAAAGCAAAATGAAGGAGAACTGGTAACGTCAGAGAACAGAAGGCTACCTGCCACTGTGAAGACGACAAAAGCTTTCAGTTGAATTTCCTTGGCCGGGCTTTCTGTCATCAAGAGAAGAAAAGACCTGAGAGAATGCATTTTTAACGTGGTTGACGGAAATGTCTTCTCCCAGATGTCCATTCTTGCACAGAATGTCTAATGATTTTAGTTGTTTTTTATAGAATCTGAAGGCTTTCTTGTGTGTACTATTGCTTTTTTACTGCTTTACTGACCGAAAGTGAAAAGAACATCATAAAACCTGTTATTCCAAATAAAGAAAAATAAGAAATAAATTAGATTTGCATTTTGGTACAGGATGACCACTCAGGGCCATGTAAGAAACTCAAACCTCTCTGGGCAAATGAAACTGGTTGGATTTGTTGTAAAATAGACCATAGAAAACAGAGAGGTAAAGAATGCCGGACACTGAAAGGCCAGAAACATGAGATAATTGTGTATGCTATGTGAAACTGACCATATATAGTGGTTGGGTCAGTAACGTGATCCTCAGCAATGTGTGAATGGTCAGTCACGACATCCTCTTTCTTTAGCTGATTTCAGGTTTTGTGACAAATTCAAGACTGCACCCAGCAGGGGTACACTGGGGTTCACCTCCACATCCCTTTATGTCTAACTGCTGTTGAAACATTATTATTATTATGGGATGTTGTTTTTTGTTTTATGTTATTCTTCTTCTCTTCTCTTTTATTATTCTTTTTTTTCTGCCGGATTTTTCCTGAGTAACTCGTCCCGCAGTTTTCGAGATATCAACACTGATTGAACTCCAGATTGTCCGGGCTGATTGTGTGGTTTGGGCTTGTATACAGCTTTTTGATTGGATGCGTGGTTTCCTTGTAACAATGGAATTTTGTGGATTTTTTTCCCATAGGAATGAATGGAGTGCAAAAGTTTTGGCATCTTTCTTTCTGTCACAATGATACAAATACACTAACACACACACTCAACACACACCACACACACACACACACACACTGAACACACCACACAACACACCAAACACACACACACCAGACAAATGCACACACACATTTTGAAGGTAGCAGTGTTTTTAAGGTGGCACTGGATTTAAGGTAGCAGATTTAATGTAGCAGGAGATTTAAGGTGGCAGTGGACTTGGGCAACCATAGAAACCACCAACTGATTAGCAGCACCATAGTACCCCCTGTGATACCATAGCATGCACTTAGCAACATAATAGCAACCACCTAGCATGAACATAGGAACACCATAGCAACCCCCCTGGGATACCATAGCAACACCATAGCAACCACCTAGCAGCCACTTAGCAACACCATAGCAACCACTTAGCAACATCATAGCAACCAACTAGCAACCACATAGCAGCACCATAGCAATCAGCCAGCAACACCAGAGAAACCACCACAGAAACTAACACCAACCTAGCAGGAAGTGGGAACCATTTAAGCTGTGCAGCCGTTCTGCGTTTCCTTCAGTGAATGTGAGAATGAGAATCATTAGACCTGCACATGTAGTGATCCTTTCTTTCTGTGCTTTGTTTGCAGTTATTATGCTCGATTCACTGGAGGAATGTGGCCTTTCAGTTATATAACATCTGAACCTTCAGGGCCAGCAGCCTCCAACATGCACGCAGTGTTGGTCAATTTCATTTCAAAGTGAACGTGACGGTTGGCGAGGCAGCCAGGAGCACCTCAAATCTGGAACGAAGACAAATCATTAGGATTTATTGAAATTTGTGAAGACATAGTGTAAACATACAGACTGCTCGTCAGGTTTATTCCAAACGTGTTCTGGTAACCCATTAACCCAAACTCTAACAACAGGCTAACCAGCCAGGAGCTGAAGAGAAACACCTAGAACACTGTCTGGGGGTGCATGACTGAGAAACACTGTATATATTCACACACCTGTCTTCGTTTCTCAGGTGAATGGAGACATTCCCCCACGGTTAAAGAAGAGCGCACATGAGGTCATCCTGGAGTTCATACGGTCCAGACCTCCTCTCAACCCTGTGAGTGACATTCAACAACACCTCTCACAAAATAGGAGCACCCGTGTTGTAAGGACAGGGTCCTGTACCTTGTTTTATGGGAATGGCAGAAATACTGTTTCTTTTTCGTCCCTGAGGTTAAGGTTAGTGTTAGGTTTAGGGTTAGGATTATAAAATTCATATTACATAAAGGTCTTTACATGTAAACCATTGCTGTCGTAACAACACCTCAAATTTCTGAAGCATTAACTTTACAGGAAAAGAACAAACTTAAGTTTAACATTTAATTCATTCATCATAAAATGTTCATACAGTGTGAAGAGCAGCTGGTGTTTTCAGTGGTGCAGTTTTTATATGATAGGGCTGATGTAGATACATATGGATCATCCATTGTATGATATCCTTGTGTTCTTTGTATTTCTATTTGCGTTTCCATTTCTGTTGTTCTTCATTTTTCACATGATTTGAAAATGCCAGCTGGCCTTTAAATTGTGTGAAAATTTCATGATGAATAGACCAATAGAAATTGTCCAACATGTCTTACAAGGTTGTTATTTTGGAGATGCATTTTATTCATACAGCAACATTTATAGTAAAGCAATAAGCCATTATTAATGCTGATCGATATAAACAAATATTCCGCCAAGAAATGTAGTTCCTTTAGAGTTTGGTATTGTTGCCAAGCAACCATGGACCACTGAATGAGGAGAACGTTTGGTCGCCCGTCGCTGTATATTACAGTCATTTCATGAATTGTTTAACTTTTTGTTGTAAAATAATGAACATATGATAACACAGCACTGTTTAGTGCAGAAACTTTCGCTTTATAAGAACTTTTTGGTCTCCAAATCACCACCAGGGGCTCCCTGCTCCCTACATAGTGCACTATGTCGGAGTTTAAATACTGGATCCTGCAGCCCAACAAGGCAAAATACAGCTAAGAAACAGTCATTTGGGATTCAGACACATCCACACTCCATAAATGATGCACTGTTTGGCTGTAGAGGCTAGAATTTCTAAAGGTTCATAGCTAGAACACTATTTAGGGAGTACGGAGCCGTTTGGGATTCAGCCTGGGTTTGACACGACTTCTGACTGAAACAGGGACATTTGAAGTGTGTAAAACATTCAAGTGACATTTTTAGACTTTCATTCTGCAGGTAATCATACAGTAAGTACTTTAAATCAAGTCTGTGATATTAATGATGGAGTTGTTTAGGCTGTTGGCTCTTTTAGCCTGTTAGCTAGCTGACCAGCCTGGTTCTAGTTAAGAACATAAGTTATCAGCCCCTCAATTTAAGTGTGTGCGTGTAGGTGGCAGCGCGAAAGCTGAAGCCTCAGGTTGAACATCCTCCGAGCCTCCACGAGCGCATCCTGGAGGAGATCAAATCTGAGAGGAAGCTCCGCCCAGTGTCACCTGACCAGATCCGCAGGAGCAGACCGGGTAAGACATACTGTACACACACATACTCGAATAACAGATGCTTTATTTTCACTTAAAGCCTCTTATTCTGTCCTTTAAATTGACAGTTAAATGTTGTCAATTTAATTCATTTAAATTGACAATTGAGCCACATAATGTCAATTTAAAGCTGCTCGTTGAGCTCAGCATCATCACTGCTGTGCCGCATTCCAGACACACTGGAAACGGTCAGTTAAATGTTCGTGTCAAAGCTGTAATGAGACAGAATTGGTAATATTTGTCTCCATACATTTACATTTATTCATTTAGTAGATGCTTTTTTTCAGAGTGACATACAAGAATCTGCACCTAAAAGCCCCATAAGAGTGAACAGGACTGATATCAGATTAAATTTATGCCTTTACTATTTATGCAAAAATAAAATAATAAACAATGTACGACCCCATTTCCAAAAGAGTTGGGACGCTGTGCAGAATGTAAATAAAAAACAGAACGCAGTGATGTGCAAATCATGTGAACCATATTTTTAAAGGAAAATACTACAAAGACAACATATCAAATGTTGAAACTGAGAAATTTGATTGTTTTTTGAAAAATATATGGCCATTTGGAATCTGATGCCAACAAAACGTTCCAAAAAAGTGGGGCCTGTTTACCACTGTGTTTCATCACCTCTTCTTTTAACAACACTCTGTAAGTGTTTAGGAACTGAGGAGACGCTGCTGTAGTTTAGAAAGTGAAATGTTTTCCTGTTCTTGTTTGATACAGGATTTCAGCTTTTCATCAGTTCAGGGTCTCCTTTGTCATATTTTTATTTCATAACCCTGCAAATGTTTTCAGTGGTGACAGGTCTGGACTGCAGGCAGGTCAGTTTAGCACCTGGACTCTTAATACGGAGCCATGCTGTTGTAATTCATGTCGAATGTGGTTTGATATTGTCTTTCTGAAATAATCAAGGCCTTCCCTGAAAAAGACGTCGTCTGAATGGCAACATATGTTGCCAAAACATGTATATATTTTTCAGCATTAATGGCGCCTTCACAGATGTGCACATCACCCATACCATGTGCACTAATGCCCCCCTATACCATCATGAACACTGGCTTTTGAACTGTGCACTGATGACAAGCTGAGTGGTCTTCCACTTCCCCTCAGTCCATTTTAAAGGAGCTCGGGCCCAGAGAAGGTGGCAGTGTTTCTGGATTCTGTTTATATTTGTTTTCTTCTTTGGGTTTTAGAGTTTTAACTTGCATTTCTGGATGCAGCGATGAACTGTTTTCACAGACAGTGGTTTTCAGAAGTGTTTCTGAGCCCATGCAGTGATTTCCACTACAGAATCATGTCTATTTTTAATGCAGTGCTGTGCAGCATATACTGGTGTTTAGCCTTGTCCCTTGCATACAGAGATTTCTCCAGATTCTCTGAATCTTTTAATGATATTATGTACCGTAGATGATGAAAAGCAAAAGTTCTTTGCTATTTTATGCTGAGAAATGTTATTCCTGAATTGTTGCATTTGCCTACTCAGTCCCTAACAGAGTGGTGAACCCCTCCTCATCTTTACTTCTGAAAGACTCAGCCTCTCTGGATGCTCTTTTTATACCCAGTCATGTTACTGACCTGTTGCCAATCAACCACCAGGGTTTTTTAGCATTTACACAACTTTACCAGCCTTTTGTTGCACCGTCCCAACTTTTTTGAAACATGTTGTTGGCATCAAATTCAAATTGGGCAAATATTTTTCAAAAAACAATAAAATTTCTCCGTTTCAACATTTGATATGTTGTCTTTGTGCTATTTTCCTTTAAAAATGTGGTTTACATGATTTGCACATTGCTGCATTTTTAATTATTCTATTTTTATTTGCATTCAGCACAGCGTCCCAACTTTTTTGGAAATGGGGTTGTAATTGAGCACCAGATTTGGGAGAAAGGAGATTGAAGTCAGTCTGATCTGCCAGCCACACTTGAAAAACCTGCCATGTTTTAACGCCCTGGTTGTTTTGCTCTTGCAGTATTTCGGCCGCTTAGCAATTCTCAGAGTTTTGACTCCTCAGGTAAAGCTGTGTTGACTCCTGCTATCTGTCCCCTGTTGTTATTGGCCCGTTTGGTTGTCCTTGGTGCTTTGGTTCAGCTTTTGGTGCAGCACATCTGCCATAACATTCCATGCTTTGGTGTCACTAACAGTTCAGCTGAGGCAGCACTGTTCCAAAACAGAGGAGATAACTTTATCTCTCCGTAGCTTTAATTAGTGATAAATCACATCTTTTGGCATAATAGCTGTTGTTGCCAGTCTGTGCTCACCAGCTGGAGCTCTTCTTATGGCTCCTCTCAGCTTTCGTCATGCCGTTGCCATGGTGAGGCCTTCATATGTTTGTGTTCGTGCGCACGTGCCGATGCTTCCATCTGTCTTCTAATAGGAAAAGTAGCTGCACATGGAAAGAGTGTAACTCATACAAACAGCCAGATGGTACAGTCCACAGATCGAAAGATCCAAACGCTTCATTTCATGAAGATGTAGACACATTCAGTCATTCAGGGTGGTTTGGTCTGAAATGCTCTCTTCTAAAGATGCTTACAGAGTCAGAGCTGTTCACAGTGGTGGTGATAGGAACCAGACGTCTGAAGAGCTTAATGCCTCTAAAAGGCCTGAAAAGTATTTTTTTAACCCTTTGATGTTCTGCTTATTTGGGAGAGCACATTTTGAGTCACTTTATATGCCCTAAAGTGCCATCTCGACCGTTTGGTAGACGTGAATATTTTAAAAACTGTGTGGTCAAAAAAACGGAAAAAACAAACACCAATTGTTTTTATTATTGCCCAAAAAAAATTCCACAGCTTTTTTTGGTGAGGACATTAAAGGGATAATAAATGTTATTTTAATTTACATTTTATCAACACAGTACATATAAACTGCTCTTTTTGGATAGTGAATAAAATATTTACTGTCTGCATTTGCATTGGGACCCCTGGTTCTGATCACCACCACTGTTTAGAAACGTCAGTTGACAGAAGTTTCTTTACAATGAACCATTTCACATGGAACCACTCTGAATGACTTTGTTAACATCTCAGTGATCTAATTATGCAGAATTTTTTTTTAAAATTGGTGGAATTCCCCTTTAAATGACCCACAGTGAATTTTCCTGTTCAGTTACTGTTTATTTGTTGAATTTAACATTTTGGAAACAAAAATGGAACATATAATGTGGCCTGTGCAAAAGTTGTCACTTTTTTACTTTTTTTAATAAAAGTAGCAAATAAATAGAAATTGTGCACTAAAACTTGCAGAAACATTGTCCTATTTAAGTGTGCTCTCTGTAGGGGATGTGCCGAGAAGCTTATGTCAAAATTTCTCGTTGAGATTTAAACAAAATCATCCAGACTGGTTTGAAATGGTTAATTTGGTTAATTTGTAGAGAAACTTAGTGACTTAGATTTGTTTACAGTGGTGCTGATAGGAACCAGACGTCCTGATGTCCACAATGCAAATATAGCCAGTTTAGTTACTATCTAAATCACCAGTGAACATGCTTTCTGAGTTTTTATATATTTATGTATTGTTGATGGTAAAATAGTGTTCAATCTGAAAAAATAAGTTTAATAAGTTTTCTTTGGTGACTGTCCAAAGAAACCCACCATAAATTGATTAAAATAAACTGATTAAAACACCTTTTAGGCCAAAACTTTTATCACAAAACTACTGTTAAGCAATGTCTCAGTCATCAGGCAGTGAATTCATAACCCTTCCATGTAATAATTTCCTGTGAGGGAGCTTTTAGAGGCTTTAAACTTTTTAGACGTCTTGTTCCTATCACCACCATTGTGAACAATTTCGACTCGGTGGGTTTCTCTGGATTTTACGCCACTCTGAATGATTTTGTTGACACGTTTACAATTTAATTATGCAGAATTTTTGAGAAATCGGTTTAGTTCCCCTTTAACAGGCCATGTTACACACTTCTATAACCTAAGAATAGCTCAGCCAGTTTGCATTGAAGTCCCTGTAGTTACTGAATAATAAGCCTTAGTATGTAATAAGCCTGAGATTTTAAGGGGTTAAAGGTACAATAAGAAAAAAGTTCTTTAGTGCTAAGGCATAAAGAGAGGTTGGAAAATGGTTGTGCAAAAGTTCAGTGAGACTTTTTTATACATAAATATTAGAATATTATTTATTAACAATGAGTTTCAAGTAGAAAAAAATAAATCGATGACGAATGCAGAATATGATCTCTCTTATACTCAGCAAAGAACGACCTTCCAAAGAGAGCTCTGCTTTAAAAGGGTCAACACAAGAAAAAATGACCAAAATGATCATCTGAGCACATTGTGATTTACACCTGCAGTGTGTGTGTGTGTGTGTGTGTGTGTGTGTGTGTGTGTGTGTGTGTGCTGGCTTACAAGTGCTTGTGGTCTCCCTCTCCGACACACCTACACTCCTCTGTACATACAGTGTCTGTGTTTACCTGTGTGTGACTGCTCTATGTCGGTCTGTGCAGACATGTCCACCCCTGACGCGGCGAGGAAAGCGTCCAGCACGCTCTCGCTGGCCAACGGCTCGTCCCTCCAGCAGAGCGGCGCCAGCGGCTTCCAGAGGAAAAGGCTCCAGGCGCCCACGCTGTCGGAACTGGACAGCTCCGACTCAGACGTGAGCCAGTTTTGTATGTGTTTAAGGGAGTATTTCACCCAGAAATGCTAACGTGGCTAGCTGTAAACGAAAGCTGGCAGAAAGCTAGTCTTGGCCTCAGAAGCTCCGCCCACAAATACACAGACCAGGTGATTTATATTGTATGCCACAACAATCAGAATCTTGTTTACACTCTCACTGATCCACACTTACTCACTTTTTGCTCTGTAAGTAAAACAGTAAACAAGCGTATTATATTAAAGCTAATAAGTGAGATTTGTTTGTTAAAACTAAAAGTATCATTATGAATTATGAATGATTATAATCATTATAAACAGGCTAAGATTTGGTGAGTGTGCTCTGCTGCGAGTCGCCCTGTAAAGCCTGAAATGATCATTTAAGTTAGAGGCGTTGGTTCGGGAGGTTTTCACAACACGTCGTATGTCTGTGAGTATTAACATCACACACACAGGCTCAAAAAGAAGGTCCGGCTCGATGTTTGGGCCTCAAATTATCTCGAAATCAGCATCATACTGATGAAGATATGATGACAATAGTAGATAATTCACTCACACCCAAAGTCCAAAGCACCACCCACAGTACAAGATGTTCCTCTGCACGTGGCGTGCAATAAACATTTTCACCAGAGGGGTCTCCAGATCCCTAAATCATACATAGTGAAGCTTTAATTGAAAATATCTAAGTCGATTTCCGTTCAGATGGCAGAATGGCCACTAGGGGGCCTGCAGAAAGAGGTTAAACAAGTCAGCAATCTCATCTTGTATTGTCAGGATATCAACACAGCATGAGAACATCGCATCATGAAAAGCTTATCCAGACTAAAAACATTTTTGGGATGTTGTTGAAAAGCATTGTTTGATGAATGAAATGTTGAAGCAGGATTAACACTTCATTTTGGACAACTAATTCTGTTATTATAGCATATTATTTTGTATTGTTTTATATTTTATCCTTGATCTGGTGATGGTTATTATTGTTACTACACGCTAACCTGCTAAACTGACATGTTTGATTTAACTCTCACATTTTGAGTGATGTTGTGTTGGTTCAGGTCAGTTTCAGACAGAATTTTGTTGTAATCGGGTCAATTTTGGACTCAAAACTTGACGTAGTTTGGGTCGAGCTTGGACAGAAAATTTTAAAGATGTATTATAGTTTTCAGGACTGATCTGACAGGCAAAGATCTGCTGCCTTTACAAACAATGGGTTGTGTTTGCATGTTAGTCAGATGGCCTTTTCCTGGCAAAGTAGGCAGTTCTTGGGGCTGAGTGACAAAACCCACCAGATTCTCTGGTGACAGGCAGAATTCCTGCAAGACAATCATGCTAATTTGCCCTTGGTTAGTTTTCATTCACTGTTAGCCGTGTTAGTGTTTAGGGGTAAATAGGCCTTTACTATTTTAAACGTTGTGTGCATGTTGGTTTTTAGTAACCAGTCAGCTGTGACTCATTCTGTAGGATGAGACAGTGGGTCAAAGGTCAGCCAGCACCTCCAGCATCTCTACGCCCATGGTGGAGGACATGTCGCCAGAGTCCGTGGTGGGAAAGAAGAGTGAGTTACCCGTTTCTAACTGCCAATTTAAGGCCCAATTCCATTTCACCCCTCACCCCTACCACTCAGCCCTTAGCCCTCTGTTTTGCGTGTTCACGTCTAGGGTAGGGTGTCCTGATTCTTGTTGAGATAGAGGGGTAGGGTGAAGTGTTGGGGCTACATGACCCTCCAAACGGAGGTTTTTCAGAGACTCCAAACAGAGAGTTATGAGAAAAAAAGAAAAACCAGCAAGATGGAGAACAAGCGACCAAAGAAACCCACAAATGTGAGAATTTTCTCTGTTAAAAATTACAATAACCACTGTATTATCTTAGTTTAATGTCATTTCATGCGCTAATAGCATGCTAATGACTCGGTAGCTAGCTAGCTAACTTTCCTGTGCCACCTTAAGTAGTCCAGTAGTTCTGACGCCTGAAGCACCACAATGTAACTGCTGCACCATTTAAGGTGGAACAAGAAGCTGGTGAATATCTGACTTCAGCTTCATATCACTGAAGAATTAGGGGTGGGTGATAATAAATAATTGCCCCCCTCTTTGAAGGCATATGATGCCCTAAATGTAACTAAAGCCCAGCAGTGAGGAGCTGAACTTTACCCTCCTCTGCTGTCACTGCAGACTGGCAGGGTCGCCTACAGAGCAGCGCTAGTAGCTGTTAATGAAGCAATGCTCTATTTATTTGAGGGTCCCATTTGATGGGGACGATTTCAACCACTACCCCTTGTAACTCAGTTCCGAGGGGTTAGGGTGACACTCAAAAACAAGGGGTAGGGTAAAAAGAAGAAATGGGACTGGGCCCAAGTCTCAATATGCATCGCTCAATGATTTTGCTTCCGTACTTTGTGTCTAAAACATGGCTATCAATCCCAAGGTACATTCTCAATGAACTTGCTTAAAGATTAGCTCACAATGTGAATGATAAACAGAATATCCGCAGGTCATAATAAAGCAGCCTAAAAAGTCTCCACAGGGGGGAGCTTTTAGCTCTTAGTCACTGTAGTGAGCCTCACTGAGAGAGAGGAAACCCACACCAGCAGGATCTCGCTAATGCACAGACTTTGTAGTTACAAATTGCGTCCATATGAAGTACCAGTGTATAAGCTGAACCGTTCAACAGGTGGCTAACAAGCTAACTGGCTTCTCCAATAACATTCAGCTCGTTGTTACAAAGTAAAGAATATGTCTGTTATGATTATCCGATTCAAATGTCTGTGGTTAAATTTTGGCCCCAGCAGTATTAAACCCTCTGTGGGAAGTGAATCCACACCACATCGCTTTACAGTAAAACACAGAGCCTGATAGACCCCTTCCCTTTCTCATAGCCCCACCCATGTTCCTGCCCATCTCCTCCACGCCGCAGCCTGAGAGGAAGCAGCCCGCCCAGAGGAGACACTCCATAGAGAAGGAGACACCCACCAACGTGCGCCAGTTCGTACCTCCGTCCAGACAAAGCTCCAAATCCTTAGTGAGTGGACGAGGGACGCTTACATCCTTCCTTTTATAACCACAGACAGGACCGTTTTGAAGTTGTATTAGTTTATGGTGACTCTGTGGCTTTGTGTGTTGGTACAGGAGGAGTTTTGTTTCCCGGTGGAGTGTTTGGCCCTGACGGTGGAGGAGGTGATGCACATCCGGCAGGTGCTGGTCAAAGCCGAGCTGGAGAAGTTCCAGCAGTACAAAGACATCTACAACGCGCTGAAGAAGGGAAAGGTACAGCAGAAATAACCCACAGACAAGCCCATTTCACACCAGACGCCGTAACCGCACCACATGACGCGCCGCACAGTGCCACACACAATATGCTACTACCTTTATAAATGTAGCCTTTCACTGCAAAAATATCCTTGGGTCTATTTCTGACGTGTGCTGCGCGTGGCATGCCAGCTGTTTTTATGCAGAAACAGTAAAGAAATGCAGTGTCTGTGCTATAATATACAATCTAGGCTAATAAACACATAAACAAATCTAGTTTTAACTCTTTGACAGGTTGATTGAAACCCTTTAAGTAGGTTAATATTGTGAACACACAGGTGTGAAAAAGCCAGCAACGGTCAAAATTTTATTGTTGATCTCTTTATGTCGTCTACATAAAGTTTATATAAGTAATCAATCGGTTTGTTCCAAACAGAACCAAGATTTTTATGTTTCCGTTCCAAACCCAACATAATTCCTTGAACGAAATAAAAACAGGTTTATTTGGTTCCTTTTATATAAGCTGAATGTAGGCCTAACATAATAAAATAGTCCTACATCAAGATCTTGACAAGCCATGCAACAGCATAAACACAGGTTTATCATAAACATCATCATCATCATTGTGAACCACTTAATCCAGATAGGGTTTGTTTAGTTTCACTTTGCTGCTTGCCACAGTGGACGTGCACAAAGTAGTGGGCTTAGTGAATGAAATTGCATGAGATCTGATGTTTATCCAAATGTTTGGGATTTTGTCAGTAATCCGATCAATGTGTTTACATGCACTTGAGTAATCAGATAATGGGGAAACTCCAGGTCAACATGAGTCAGGCAGTAATCAGATTTCTGCCTTGTAACCAGCCAATAAACTCATAGAAGAAGACGAGACGTAAACGTAACGTAAAACTCAAACGTTATGCTGCAGCTTTTTCACCTGCCACTTGACCTGAACATACATCAGACGATGAGGAACATTTAAATCTTTCTTTTCGTCCAGCATGAATTTGGTTTCAGCGTCGCTCTAAAAGTGTTTTGCTGCGTCTCGCGCGTCTTTGCTGTGTTAAAAGCTGCTCGCTTATTTCCGGTGCCGCCGCCTGTTTTCGCACATGCTCAGACTGAGAAATCCGAAGGAAATCAGAGTAAGAGTTTACATGTACTAAGAAATCTGATTACTGAGCTAAAATCCATCCTCTTTATCAGATTTGTTAATCAGATTTCTAGACCTTACACCGATCTAAGAAATCAGAGCTGTTTACATGACCATTAGAATAATCAGTTAACCGCAGAAATCCGACTATGATTATTGAGTGCATGCAAACGCACTCAGTGTTTTCTTATCTGGGATTTGTTCTTAGGTAAGAACAGAATCTACACACAGTCAAGAGCACAAAGGTGTGAACAGTTCTCCATGAACACGTCGTGAATCTGACGCAGATCTTTCTTTCTCAAGAACATATCAGCCACCTCTAAAACATCCCATTAATTGTTTGATTGAATGATTGCCTGACTGTGTTTATGTTTTTTCCTCTTCGTTATAAACGATATTGCGCAGCTTTGCTTCTGCTGTCGAACCAAGAAGTTCTCCTTCTTCACGTGGTCTTACACCTGCCAGTTCTGCAAAAGGTAAGAATGGATGAGCCATAGTCTGATGTAATGAGACTGGCCTTAGACCTGACATAAAGCCAGAGTATGTATAGATTTTCACATTTGGTCAGGTTTTCACACTCAGAGCAGGTTTTCTCCCTCCTCTCTGCAGGCCTGTGTGTTCGCAGTGCTGTAAGAAGGTACGTCATCCTCATATTCTGCTCAGTACAGTAACTGTAGTCCAGCAGTCTTCAGAGACCCTAACTGCACCGCGCGCTTCGCCTCATTCTGTGTGTTTCCTGATGCTCTCCTAGATTCGGTTGCCCTCTAAACCATACGGCAGCCTGCCCATCTACTCTCTGGGTCCTTCCACCTCCACACTGTCCCGGGACAAATCAGAAAAGGGCAGTACGAGCCACCACCGGCACAGCCTCCACCGCACCATGTCCAGGTAACACCCTGGGTCACACTGGGGGACTTAGTCGTTAGAGGGTTTTAGTCGTCCTAAATCAGGAGTCAGATTACCTGGAGGCCACTAGGCAGGTGTTGTCTCCAAATGTTGCATATTTTCTTTGAGTATGATTTTTTTTAATTACATTCAATTTTTCATTTAACACTTGTTAACATGAGTTAATTTAGTTAGTAAATGTTTATTTGCAATTTTTCTGTGTACTAACTAATAATAATAATATATATAAACATATAGTCAGCCAGATTACCTGCAAATAATTGTATACTATAAACCTATAGTATTTCAGTTTCATTAAAGTGAATAAATTAATAGAGATAAATTGATATAATTTATGCAGTCATACAAAAAAATATCCATTTAAACACAAAAACAAGACAAACAAGAAAAAAATCCTTTTTTTCATTCCATCTTCAAAGTGAAGCATATTTAGATCTTTTCGATAAGTAAGTATATATAAGTATAAGTAAGATAAGTAAGGTTTGAAGTATGATTTTAAACTACATAAATTTTTCCATTTTAATTAGTAAATGTTAATTTCCAATTCTTCGGTGAACCACTACAACTAATAATGATGTATATAAATATATAGTCAGCCAGACTACCTGTGAATACTTGTATACAATAAACCTATAGTATTTCAGTTTCAATAAAAAATAATAAATATAAAAATGAAAAGAAAATGAGAAAAAATCATATAATTTATGCAGCCAGACTGCATAAGTTAAGTGAGTTTTCTTGTGTTGTGATAAAATTCCTTTTAAAATTTTAAAAATTTTTCCTAGGCCAGTATTCCTTGGCCACACCACCCCCCCCCTTTTTCAGGGGACTATTAATGTCACAACTCATCGTTTATTAATTATCATACAAATATAAGGTGATGTGGTATCACAACCACCCAATCCCCTTCCAAACACCCCCCCCCCACCCACTCACCCATCCCACGCTTTGAGTGAAAGAAAAGACAAAACAAAAGAAGTAGAGAAAGAATGAAGTAATAATAATAATAATAATAATAAAATTTTAATAAATCTAATGAAGTCTTTTCTTTTTCTCTGCCTTTGCTCTCTCCTCCCCCTCCTACACCTACTCCTCCCTCTGTGCCTCAGACTGTCGAAGACGTCGCGTCAGTCCTCCTCGTCCTCCTCGCGGGAGGAGGTGGAGCTGCCCCGCGAGCTGACGGAGGACTGGAGCAGCATGGAGGTTTGTGTGGACTGCAAGAAGTTCATCTCCGACATCATCTCCTCCAGCAAGCACAGCCTGTCTCTGGCCACCAAGCGCGCCCGCTTGAAGCGCAAAACGCAGTCGTTCGTCATGTCTTCTTCAAAAGGGGCGGAGTACAGACCCTCAGAGAGAACTATCAACGAGGTCTGACCCGCCAGACCTTTCTGTCTGATCCAAAGCCTGGACTGGACCTTAATCGCCGGACCAGAATGACGTAGGAGACCCTGGAGTGGGGAGTATATGTCCTCCTGTTTGGTCTAGATGGAGGGGGGTGTTGACTGTGTGGTGTAGCAGCCATAAAAGTCTTACTGATGTGTACTGGTTCTTCTAAATGGACCAACGCTGCCTTCATGTGCTGATTGGACGGTCCTATTTTTCCACAAAGTTATAATTAATTTACATTTAAGAGCTTTGTAGATGGAAAAAGGGGGATATTTTAGCCAAGCCCACCGAATAGCCCAAGCCCACCATTTAAAAATATACATATAAACTCCACTGGTTACAATTATGAACAAACGAGCAAATATCTATGGCCTAATTGGTGACGACTAGAAGTAAATCACATTTATAAATAAAGAATAGCCAACCACCTTTGCAAAGTCTTTGCATTCAAGTCCATTGTAGTAAAAATATTATAATAAATAATATATCGGGTAAATACACCGCTAATGTTAGCTAGCTAGCTGGTAGGAGTGGGAAAAAAATGATCCTTAAAGGGTCCATAACATTGAAAGAACAAATTTCCCGTCTTTTTTTGTTTGGATTTTAATATATAAACATTGTTTCAGGATGTACTGTTCACCACCGAGTCCATACAGTCCACATGTGGAAACTGAACTGCAAAAACATCCTGTTCTGAATTTATTTGTCACAAGGACCAGCTTATTTATATCTATCCACCTATTCAAACTACAGCAGTTTAGCCCCGCCCACCCAGACTGAAGTTATAAGTAGTGCTTAAGCTCTGAGTGCTTTTTGAATGAGGCACAATACAGGACAGCCAATCAAAACTGAGCTCATTTGCATGCGTTCGGTCTCAAAGAACCTTTTGCATGGTTAAAGGGTTCTTTGCATTGTGAAAGGTTCTTCAGATTGATAGGTAATGTGCATGAATGTGCAGATGGTTCTATATAGAACCTTTTTGAAAAGGGTTCTAAACAGCACCCAAAAGGGTTCTTCTACTGTTATAAGCTTGACATAGTAACAGTAGTAGAATACTTTTGGGTGCTATATAGAACCAAATACAGTACATTCTCCATCAGTCTGAAGAACCCTTTTCATGATGCAAATAACCCCCTAAAAATGCAGAAGGTTCTTTGAGTGTTCTTGGTTCTATATAGAACCATTTTCTTTGCTAAAACCCTTGAAGAACCACCTTTATTTAGAGTGTAGAAAAGCGTATCGCGACATGTTGTGATGTAATTTATCACAATAATGATAAATATTGTTATATTGTCCAGCTGTCCTGGACATTCCCACCCCTGACCAGCTAGCATGATCTTCCTAACGTTTATCCCTGCTATAAAAATGTGCATAAGGCAACCAGCGGCTACAGACGGAAGCAAATGTCTACCACCTAATCGGTGACTGCTAGGTTAAATGGACAAAAATAAGAACTGACCACTGAACTTTCCTTCCTCGCTTGATTAAAAATCGTTTTTGAAGCTAGTAATAATGATTTGAGGGGATGTTCCTGTATTTACACATCAACCATAATTCCGATCGCGCATGAAGGCAGCATAAGGAACGGTCAGTTTCCTCCTCAGTGCAGTAGCTGAGGTACATTCGAGTGCATCAGTGCCACCATCATATCTCTCCTCCACACAGTAGAGGAAAATGGTCTGGTGTTCATGTGTTCTGATCACTTCAGTCCCAGTGGTGGTCATGACCACTGGACCACACTTCAGTCCCAGTGGTGGTCATTCCATACCAGTTCACTTAGCGCAGGGCAGATCATGATATATTTCCTTGAAAAACGGGAAAAAATCAAGCAAAAACTAACTAATTCATGCATCCATTTAAGACTTCAAAACTGTGCTCCAAATCGTTTTTCAGTTATGAATATTTAAAGCTCGTCTCAGCAGGTTGTAAATGTTTAATATTGAGTTTAAAGGGGAATGCCAGTAATTTTTGAAAATTCCTGTATGATTAAATGGTTATGGATGTAAAACAGAGTGATTCAGAGTGGTTTGGTGTGAAAGTGCTCCGTTTTAGAGTTGTTCAAAGTGGTGGTGATAATAATAATGATAATAATAATAATAATAATAATAATAATAATAATAATAGTGACCAATAAAAACTTCTCAATCATCTAAGTTTTCCTGGTCTCCCAGTGTCCTGGTTCTCTGTAGCGGGCGTATTGAAGGGTATAATCTGGGGGGGAGTGCTTAAGTGTGGGCCCAAATGGTTACTATCATTATTATTTGATTTATTTATTATTATTTTTTTATATAGCACTTTTCTTGCTGGTGGCAGCTTAAAGTGCTTTACAGACAGGTGATAAAGCTTAACATTAATACAAAAAATTCTGAGTATTAATTTAGACTCATATAATAAAATGACAGATCAGATTAAAAGATAAACACTGCAGAGTTTTAATTAAATGCTGAGTTAAATAGCTAAAGGAACCAGACGTCCACCTCTAAAAAGCTCCCTCAGAGAAGGTTAATACATGAAATGGTGTATATGCTGCCTGATGACTGAAACATTGTTATACGATAGTTTTTAACCTGAAACATCTCTTTAAAAACACATTCACGGTGGAGGGATACATGCAGGGAGCCTTCGGGCAAAATAGCCCCCAAAGAAAACGTATTACTTCACATTTTCCACTATTTTCCCATCATTTATCACCATATAGACTCAGAAGACTCGTGTAGGTTCACTGGTGGTTCTGGATAGTAAATAAAATGTCTATTTTTGCGTTGTAGTCATGGCGACCCCTGGTTCCTATCACCACCACTGTAAAGACATCTGAACCATTTCACACCAAACCACTCTCCGTTTACATCTTAAGGACTGAATTATGGAGAAATTTTGAAATATCAGTGGTGTTTCCCTTTAACGTGGTACAGAGTATCTGAACTGAGCTGAGACTGGTAAAAGTTCTGTTCTACCACAGTAATAAGCACAAATGAAAGTAAACAGAAGCCTAACATGTACAAAGATGCAAAAATAAGCTCCTAAATTAAGACACTTCTTATTTTAGTATCAGGGAGAACCAGTGAAGTGTTGTGGGGGATCTGAGAAGTGGAGAAGCTTTGAGAGCTGTTGATGTTCGGTGGCAGTTTTGTATACGTGACTTTTTGTATGCCGAAGTGGTCGTAATAAATAACACAGTCTGTCGGTTTACATGACATATCAGTCAGGACGTCTAAATGTCACATTTCCTTCATTTTGTGTTCTCTGTTAGATTGTAAATACTCAAATTTATCTTAGAAACGGCACATTTTCACATTTTTCCCCTCTTTTTTTATTACTTTACTTATATAGCCTTTAAATCAAACATGAGCTTCACAGTGAAGCCTGTTAGGAAGGCTTGATGAGGAGTTTGAAGATGATGACAATGTATTTGTCCCCAAAGCACTCAACAAAAGCGTAAACATGCAATAGATTCTTCCTTGTTTTAATAGCTACAGTGAGTTGGAACGGGAATTAAAGGGTCCATATCATGTAAAAACGTCCTATTTTTAAATAAAAACGTTTAATGCAGTGTAAAATGAACTGTTCGCTCCGCAGTCCTTAAACTAACCTGCAAAAACGGCCTGCTTTATATGGTTTTTGTGATGTCACAACACTTATATATACCCGTCTATTCAGGCCACAGTAGTTTCGCCCCGCCTATTCATGCTGAACGGATCGAGAGTGGTCTGCATTTTGAATAAAGCACAATGCAGGACAGCCAATCAGGACAGAGCTCATTTACATATGTCAGGCTTAAAGATATGAACCATACAAACATCATATGTGGATAAAATACAAGAGAAATGTAGGATGTGGGCCCTTTAAGCGTGTTAGTTTCTTAAAGGAACATTCCAGCGCTTTTCAACCTAATCTGTATTTGCTGCAGCTGTATTGTGCTGTTAATCACCCATAGGTAATAATTTTGATGAGCTTTCCTGATCAAAACAACCCATTGACTCAAAACTCACTTATAATGGAAGTCAATGGGCAGTTGCTGGAAGTTACTTTGGCTTTCGCTAAGGTTTTCTGGTGACCATGGTGGTCAAGCGAGGCCTATGAAAGCTCCACTCACATTTCTCTCTGGAAAGCTAGACCCATTTCTGAAAGAATGAATTATACAGATTAACTTACAATTGAAAACTAAAGAATAAAGAAAAAGCAGAGAATTTGTAGAGAGGAGAATTCCCGCTCTGTAACGTCTTCAGGTTTCTCAAACACTAGAGGGCGCTCCTGAGCGAGTCCAAAATGAATGGGTTAAGATGGAGCATTTGAGCAAAATTATAGTTGATAAATGCTGAAACATTTTAATATAAAAGAATTCATTCATTTCCTGAAACCAGAACAGTATAAAACATTTTAACAACGCTGTTTTATTTTTAAGAGCTTTTAAACTCGAGTTATAGGAGTTTAAAATGGCGCCTTATGTACGGTTATGGCGTCTGTGAGTGCGAACAGCCAATGAGCTGCTCCGTTCACCAACCAACGGGGAAATAGGAAGAGGCCAGACTCCTCCTCCTATGTTTACTGACAGAATTCAGCAGCTGTCCATAGACTTCTATTATAAGCGTCTTTCGAGTCAGTTTTGCATTTCTTTTCTATGTGTGGGGAAGCATGTAGAAGTTATTATCTACAGTAATCATCTGTACACACTTAAAAATGATGGTTCTCCAAGGGTTCTTTAGTACAGAAATTGGTTCTCTATACAACCATGAACACTCAATGAAGCTTTTGCATGATAAGTGGCTTCTCAGCATGGTGAAGTGCACCAAAAAGGGTTCTTCTGCTATAACAAGCCTGTTACATCGTAATAGCAGAAGAACGCTTTTTGGTGCTACGTAGAACCCTTTCCGAAAAGGTTCCATATAGAACCATCCACAGCACATTCTCCATCAATCTGAAGTACCATTTCCCCATGCAAAGAACCCTTAAATCATACTAAGGCTTCACTGACTGTTCATGGTTCTATATAGACCCATTTTCTTCACTAAAGAACCATTGAAGAACCATCGTTTTTAAGTGTATATGATACAGCTACGGCAGATAGAGATTAGGTTGAGTGTGCTGGAGTGTGTAGTGTTAGCGTGGTTACCTCTGGTTACTCTTGGGTGACTTGGATTGAGCGTTAATTTGATTCTGTATGTATTTGTAGAGACACGTTTTCTTAAAATAAGAATACAGCAATCGTCTTCTCTCACGGTTCGAGAGGCGTTCTTGTGTAAGCCATAGTTGTTCCCCAGACTTCTTTAGCGCACTGTATTGAAGCTTGTTTCTTTCAGTAATAACAGTAGGAATGTGTATTTTTGCACCATCACTGAGCGGATAAAGTGAAGGGAGGGCCGCTGGTTGTTGTGATAAAGCAGTGGACATCTGCTTTCTGTCTGACCCTTGATTAGCGGCGTGAAATGAACACCTAGACGGAGTGTTGGAGGCCAGTTTGGCATGATTTGCTTAAAAAGTTGTGTTATCATTCTGTAGTTGGTGTCATGCCCATATAAGGAAGTGCAGGTCTAAGCTGGTTTTCTCTATGGGGAAAATGAATGGTGTATGCCATATGGACATGTTCCCTCCGAAAGTCTGGAACCTCTGAATGTAACCTCTCAGTTACAGGCTGCAGTTTGAGTAGCAGGTGTTGGTGTGTACCAGTGTTTTATAGCAGACTTACTTTCATCAAAGTCCGCATTTACATCTGGTCATTTCATGCGTCTTCAGTATCAGGATAGTATCTGGATGAGGCCACTTAAAAATGCAGATGTGAACGCACACAAAACATTTAAAACAGATACAAATCTGACCCCTCAAACTGCTTTAGGAGGTGGACTGAGACCCATTTGAGCCGCATGTTACAGAAGCATAA